ATACACACAAAAACCTAAATTTGAATTATTTGCTCTCACGTTTTGGTTGGCAAAGTACATGCGAGGTTTTGGGGCTTATTTTTTTGGTTGGGTGGGTTGGGGGGTTTGTGTTGGTGGTGGTGGTGTTGTTTGGTATGAAAATTTCGTAGTTCATGGGAGGTTTTGTGAGACATCCTAAATTTAGGGGTCTATATAAGATAAATAAAAATTAGGGAGATTATGCAAAATTAACCCCTTTTCTCGAAGTGGGGGAAACAGAGAGTCACTGCACATGTAGGCGAATTTCCGAATTATTATTGACCCTTTGCACTGTTAAGCACATGATAATCGAATAGCTTTAGCGTAATAGGTTAAGATATCCGTACAGACAAGATCCGAGATTATATTGTGAAAGAAGCATTGTTGTTCCTAGTAGATTGTAATCAATCATTCATGATTTTAGGGGCTGTTTGGTTGCACATTTTTTGAGAAAACTTTTCTCAAAACATCTGACAATGGCAAATTTGTAATTAAAAGTTTTTCAGAGTTTTCTGTAAATTGTGTTTGGTTCAACAAAAAATTTACAGAAATATTTTCTATAAAATATCAAAACCTACCAAATTTTACAAAAAGCAATTTCCTCTCAAAATGAGAGGAAATCACCAGAAATTTGACACATACCATATTTAATTAAAAACCTACCAAATCTTGTTATTTTCTATAAAGTTATGAGCTATTTTCTTGTTTTGAACCAAACAAGCAAAGTACAAAAAACAAGAAAATTGGTACTTTTTGATTTCTCAAAACTTTTCCTATAATTTTTTTAAGAAATACAAGGAAATCATATTTTAGGTGGAAAACATTTCTTATAATTTCTAGAAATTGAACCAAACACCCCCATATTTTAGGATTTACTTTTAAAATTAATAGTTAATCATCTTCTATATAGAAAAAATTAGGGTGTTTATATTTTGATATAGATCCCCAAATGTGTTCAAGGTACAACAAGTAGATTCCCCAACTTTTTTTTTATGTTAATTAGATTCCCCAACTTAAATATTTTCCTTATCACTGTTTATTATTTTAGTTATACTATTTACATTCTTTACCTACATCTCATTTCTCAGCTGTTGTGACCATTGGATGGATCAGTTAGTTAGGTAGACAAAACCAAGGGCGAGGAAGCAGTTGATCCTTATTTGGAAATTATTATAAACTATATGTTTTTTTGAGAAAACAAACTAAGACATTATACATGTACAAAATTTGTTGTTGGCTATTATTATTTGTTGACTATCGTTTATATATTTCGAATAAATATGACAGAATATATTGTGAATGTACTTGTCCTTTCATAATTAGGATGTCATGTGCCCTATAAAGAAGTGTTTATATCTCTCTATAAATATAAGAATATTAAAGGTATTTTTTTCCCCTCTTTTCTTATATAGTCTACCCTTCTTCTTCATGATTTACCAGAGGGCCTCATTGCAACATTATTAAAAAGACCGCGCTCAGATCCGTAGCTAGGCCCAATAGAGTCCTGGATCAAATATATGGGCCTCAACTTGGAGTTCATTGGTATTCAATGGCAATGGATGATGACAGTTCTATAGCAGACCCAAGGGGTTACTTAGTATTATTATTATTATTATTATTTCAAAGAAAGGGAGTTGATTAGATAGCAAGACAGCGTGAGAATAATGATTGTTTGTCATCTTTTCTCACCATAACTGACAAGTCCCATCCATTCAAATTAGAGCAGGGGAAAATAATGAAGCAAATCTTTCCTGTCTGGGGAAAACTTACGTTTTAAAGAGGATAGCGCTCCGGTTGGTAAATTGTAACATGGCCCTCCTTTTTTTTGGTAAGTTACCATGACTATGTTATTTATTCCCTCAAAAAGATTTATTACTATTATTATTACTATTTTCCATATCATTTCCTTGTGCTGCTGGGTGCTGAGCTTTGAGAGAGTCACTCAGACATGACATTTCATTGAGCAGTGTCAGAACTCTCTCTCTCTCTCTCTCTCTGCAGTGTCAGAACTCTCTCTCTCTCTCTCTCTCTCTCTCTCTCTCTCTAGACTACACACATGGACATAACAATTGCAGATATTACACTAATTGAGACAACAACATGCTCACATATATAATGAAAGTAATAACTCATAGTATTCTTTCTAACTAAAAAGAGCAACCACGATTAACATCCCAAGCAAACCCCATCACAATAGATGTGAAGATAAAAACTGACTCCACATCTTCAAACCAAAACAGCCAAAAAAATAAAAATAAAAATTCTATGTATATCCACAATCTCAAACAGTCGCTAATTCTCTTCTATTAGAAACAACAATGTTAAGGATTAAGGATCCTATCTCCGCACTTGCACTTCCAATTCATTGGTTTGTAATTTGAACTGTACTCATCACCCCTTGAATTGAATGTAGTAGTAGCGGAGGCAGAGTCTTCCGCCTGCACTCCCCCCTGTTTCTTCGTCGGTGCTAAAGGAACCTGGACAGCTTCACAGTGGCTACAAGAGATGCATCTTCTCTCGCAACTCGGCGGTCTCGATCCGATCATGGCTCCCTCCACCGTCATCTTCATCTCTCCTCCTTCCTAATTACAGAAAAATAAAAAATAATTAAACATTTAAACTTCCATCACCACAGTGCAATAAGAAGAATGGCTTGAGGAAAGCTCTCACCTCGGCCACTTCAGAAGCCTCCACCAGCTGTCTAGCTTCAACTTGAGTAGAACTCAAGAGGAGGAAGACTGAGAGAGTTGAGCAGAGGAAATGGACACCCATCTTGATGTAATGAGAGCCTGATGAATGCAATGAGGGAAAAGGAGATGGAGACTCAAGTTATAAATATATAGAGAGAGAGAGAGAGAAACAGAGGGAGAGGATTTAAAGAGATGATTGATTCTGCTTCAGAACTGCAAATGGTTATGAGGTTATCTGGAAAAGGTTTGTACCACAAGGCCAAGTATTTAATGCATTAATGGCTGTCGCTAGAGGGAAAGGCTCTGTTTTCTTC